GTTCTAGTAAAACCATTTGACACTTTTATTTATTGCTGATGAAGTGRGAAATTAGAAATAGCGTATGTTAGATGTAATGAAAGCAGAGATTAAATATTGAGATTAACACTAATTGTCATCAACATAATTATTTGGGCAACGCTTGACATACTGCAGTATGTGAGTTTGCACATTAGGGGGGTTCACTTTTTTAGCKGGGTATAATAAATACTTAATTACTAGCTGAGTTTTTTAATTTTTATTTATAACTCCATTTTCCATCTCACTTTGGGGGAAGCGGATCTCGTATAGACGGTGAAATATGAACATCGAACTTTTAATAATATTTTTATTCGAATTCGAATTTCGTATTTTGATAAAATATTGTTTTTTTGAAGAGAAAAGAGTTGAAACAAAAACTTGGCTTGGGCTGAATAGTTCCACAAGAAAATCTTACATCAAGGGTTGATATAGTAGGTTTAGACCTGGCAAAAGAGGTTGTTACCGACGAAAACATCAAAAAGGTCCACAAAATAACTGTGGACGAACGCAATGCGAAGTAGTTCTAAATAGCAGGTACTCTAGAGATATCAACTGAACGTGTAAATGACTACATTCACGAATGTTTGGTTATGAGAAAGCTCTGTGGAAAGTGGKTGCCACGCAGCTCACTTTTGACCAAAAACAGCGACGAGTTGATGAATCGCTGCAGTGTCCAATCGTCAGTCATCAAGTCATCAGAGTGGATTGCACGCAATGAAACCGTTCCAAAGCATGAAAAAACACAACAGTTGGCAGGCAAGGTTATGGCGTCTATATCTTGGGTATAATTTTATTGGCTACCCAGAAAAAGAAAAGACCATCAACAGTGACCATTACTGTGTTATTGCAAGCACGAAATCGTCAAAAAAAAGCCGCATTTAAAAAAAAAAAACAGTTATGTTGTACCAAGGCAATGTTCGTGTCAGTCAGTGTCAGTAAATGGCAAAATTCTATGAATTGCTTCCGCATCCACCGTATTCTCCAGATCTGGCCAACRGTGACTATTTTCTGTTCTCAGATCACAAAAGAATGCTCGCTGGGAAGGAATTTTCGTCGAATGAAGAGGTGAACGCCGAAACTGAGGCCTATTGTGAAGCAAAGGACAAATCGTACTACAAAAATTTTTTCGAAAAATTGGATGGTCATTATTATCAGTGTATTCCCTTGAAGAGAACTATGTTGAATCAAAAAAAATAAGAATTTTGACAAATAAATGTGTTTTACTATGGTAGGCCGGCGTCTTTTCTATTGCCTTATATTTTATTTRAAATGTTAAATAGACTTCCTCAAAATTTACAAAAAATCATTTATTTTTATTTAAAAGCCAATTTACATAACTACCTCCGAAACCAGTTTATAAATGTTTAAGTTGACTGCATCAATATTTTATGAATATTTCAAGCTTCCGGAAACTGAAAAGAAAGAAAGTACAAAACAAAAACTTATCGAAATCTCAAAATTCWTCTTACAACGAGCTCTGGTTATGGTCGAAAAAATTATTAAAGCAAAGTGCTGAGTTGAAGTAYAGTAAGTTGATCGACTCATAAGCAGAATTATTTATATTTTTTGCAGCAATATATTTCACTTACTTTTTTGGAGCTATTTGATGCAATAACTTTAATTTTACCCGCCTTAATTGCGCGTATATGCATTTGTGTGTGTGTGAGATATCAGAAGGGCCCATATAATACCGGTCGAGTGCATGCGCTCTTATAACAACAATAGCAGTGTCAATAAGGTATGTAAGACAGCATGCAAATATTGAAGATGCTGCAGATTCATGTTATTGAAGTTGTTTAGTCACTCGCCTTAAGAAAACAAATAACAGTGTGCAAAATGTGGTGAAATACTCAGTAAAAATTACCACTGACTTTTCAATATCTCATCAAGCTTTTAAGGTCGTTAATGTCTCAATCAATAAGACAATTTAAAGTGTAGTTAATATCTTGTATCAGCACAGCTAAACATMMTATGTATGGTGTCTCAAAACAGAARTAAAAAGCTTTCTTCACAGGAAAAGTAAACTTGGCACRGACATATCAAAATCTATCACATTTTCTGAAAAGAATACATAATTACATCGAGGGTATAAACGGCTACAAGTGGCGGCGTCGTTTTTGCATTTTAAGGTAATATTAATTCTATTTCTTTAATTATCCATTTCAGGKTTCCCTACTTTTTTAAAGAAAAAAAAAAACAGGGGAAGGGGATTTATTATCTTTCTTTCCTTCTGTGGCATTTATTTTTTGAAGATTATCTCTTTTAAATGTTGGCCGCGGCTACGTCTCAGATSGTCCATCCGTTGGGTCAAATTTTCGATGACTCGTTCGAGCATTTCGACATTCGCCTCATGGGCAAAAGTCTAACGGTGTGATATCACAGGATCTTGGCGGCCAATCGCCCGGCCCAAATCATGAAATTACCTGCACACTCACAAAATCCATAGACTGATGCGATGTGTGGAAAGTGGTTCCATCTTTTTGAAACCAAATCTCACAAAGATCACGAACTTCAGTTTCAGTCATCAKATAGCCGGTTATCACGGCGCGAAAACGGTCGTCATTAGCGGTTACGTTCTCAGCAGATTCACTTTTAAAGTAATATGATGAGTCCACCGGCCCACAAACCGCACCAAACTGTTGTTTTTCTGGATAAAATGACAGCTCTTGAATCTCTTGAATCTCTTCAGGTTGATCTTCGCCTCAAATGTGGCAATTTTACTYGTGCACATACCAATTGAGCCTGAGCTCAAAAACGTCGAATCTTCTTGGAACTTTTCAAGAGCCCATAGAGCGAAGCGATGTCTCTTGGGAAGGCTTGAGTGGCTTGAGTTCTTGCACAATCTGTCAATGATGTGTTTTCAATTTAAGATCTCAGATATGTCAGTCCGAATTGCTGCGGACAGCCGCGAATCGTCCGAAATTAACATGGCCAGCTTGACTCACGCTTAATTCAAGTTTCCATAAACTTGTTGTAAGCTTCGACTGGGATAACTTTCAGTGCCTTCAGAGTATCTTCCGAATTTTTCCGACTTTGGTTGATAATATTGATTGTTGGTCATAAACCCACGTCTCATAACAGTAATGATACATTTGCTGAAGTTGGGGTGCTCAGGTACATTGTCAAGCATCTCTGATGCAACCACGACTTTACATAATTTTTGTAAAAAAAAATCAGGTCTTTTCATACTAGCAGAGTCTATCATTGACATTATCTATAGCTAATAAATTAACCAAATGTGTTGAGTGGAGCCACAGAGATGTGAAGATCCACTGCTATATCTCAAATATCAAGCAAGTCGATTTTCAAGCACTGTTTCTTTAAATTCTTCAATGTTATCGTTATAACCAGATAAACGAGATTGATAAACGAGTCGCATGTTTTCGTTGGAAACACGATGTGTTAAGCAAAGTCTTTGTTAATTTTTTTTCATGGTAAAAATCGCCAAGCAAACCTTTCACGTCGTAAGCAGACAGCTGTTAAAGACATGTTTATTGACATATGGAGATCAAGCTTCGCACGAACATTAAAAGTTTATACWGATCTAGCAACGAATTGTTCTTTGATTCRCAGTTTAWATGAACCAGTCCGGTAGCAYATAACAATAAATACGTAGATCGTCYTTTATCCAWCAAATATTTRACTTCGTTCAGATTTATTCGACATTCCATTCTCTTTAAAAATTACGCATTTTATTCCCTTTTTTATTGTAGAGAAAGCATCAAAACCCGAAGTACGGAACTAAATCTTACTTACGCCCAACAAAGACTCTCCCACGGAAGCGTCGTTTAATAATTACTTAATTTTCCTTACTTGTGCGAACTGATGGACGTATTTGCTGACAGCACTCCATTTTTCAGTGAACTGACAGTTGAAACTCCACCGAGTGTAGATTATAGTTTTCCATTGAGCTTAAAAAGCGTATCTAGAAGTCGATCAATTTGGTTTAGTGTCATTATGGAATMTATAAATATAGCTTCTAAAGTACCATTGCTCGCTAATTATTAGGATCAGACAGAAATCCAGATTGTCGAATGTTCGACATCGGTCTGTGGGTCCATATTTTGAAGCAGTTTTTTTCCTCTGTCCTTGTCAATATTGTTGGACACCATACTGGGTACTACTTCAGCAGTATTGGCAGTGAAAATTTTATTTACGAATAAAGGCGAAAACGGTTTTGTCGGTATAAGAATCCAAGAGATTGTACTTGAGGTTTAATTTTGAATATGTTCAATGAATTTCTTTGGAACAAATAACTACTTTAAGGCTGCTTTCTCAAAGTCTGGTTACCATAATAAATCTCAACAATGTGCGTGGTTAATGGAGATGTCCGCTTAATAGGGCTATATACCCTATTTATGAATGGTTTGACTATCCTATCTTCTAAGTTGGTGCGAACTGGACGCAGTTTGCTAAATTTTACTAAAATCGGTGCAGTAGTTTAGGAGTCCATCGCGTACAAACAATGCGACACGTACTTTTTATATGTAAAGATATAAATAATTGTTGTCCTCGGTTCACCAAGCATTACTCTCCAGCGAATCGAACAAAATATATTATACCACTACGTYGACACTTATGTACAACCCACTGTGCAACCTTCTCTTACGCTGGCTCTTTGCCGCCAACGAAAATACAGAATGATGAGTAAATTTAGGTGTTACGCGCCTGTTTAAAAAAATCGTGCGGCAGTCAAAAATCTGACGGCGTGCGCACTGTATAAACTCGAAGTTAAAGATAACAATTAGCGCTACTCTAAAAATATTTAGCAACGGCAACAAATATACTATATATTGACCACAACTTGTGATACATAAATATATATGTACAGAAGCGTATAAAAAAAAGAAAACTAAACGGAAGTTTATTAAAATTGTTATTGTAAATTGAAATTTATAACAGAAAAGCCTATAAAAGCAATAAAATTTAAATAACTAAAACAACAACAACAATAAAACAAACGAAACATCTAGTTCTAGAATAAAAAAAAGTTAATTGCCATATACATATGTAGATGTGACTTAATTCATTGGCATTCCATGGCACAAGCGAGATTGGCAATTTGAGCAAGATTCCGCAAAGAAGCGGAAGCGCGAAAGCATAAATTAGTTTGCGCATGCGTCTTTTGTTCCGCGCTGTGATTCTTGTTTGTCAAATGATTAGCCGTTAAGCGTACGTTTTTTCGAAAGCGCTGATTGACATTGAACTTGAATTTTTACGAATTAAATTTACGCGGACAATTTGTTGAGCTAAGATATTGCTAATTTAAAAATTGGCAGTCGGCTAGAAAACAGCACGGAGAGAAGTAGTGAAACGGTGTATACTAAAATATTTGGGTTGTTGTATATAATACCTTAAATATATAGAATTTCAAATACAAAAAAAAATATATTTAAGAATTTGTGAGTCAGAACTGAAAATACAGATTTGTGATCAAAATATTATTGCGATAAATAAAATCGTTTCGTATCAAAACCGTWAAAGTGCTATGCTATTAATTATATAACTTTCAATCTTACACTCAGCGTACACTCTACTATCACTCATACGCCGCGATGGTCGCGTCACTCAAGCGTTTCCCGCTAATGCAGACGCGCATGCGCAAACAGTTAGCGACACTCCTGCTAACACTCGCATGCGCACTTAGCGTTGGCGCGCTCAACACGGCCGTTTCTAGAGATCTCGTTTGTCGCATTATCACAACGAATCAGTATGCTTGCGAGCGTCATTTGGTRCGCACTGCCGATGGCTATGAGCTGACGCTGCATCGTATACCGCCAAAAAATACCACACAGAAATATTCGCCCTTCATACTKATGCAYGGTCTGATTGGCTCAGCGGCKGATTTTGTGCTACCTGGACGCAAACGCTCRCTCGGCTGCATACTGCATGAGCAAGGCTACGATGTGTGGCTGGCGAATGCACGCGGCACCACCTACTCGAAGCGCCATACGCACATGGACTCATCGAATTCGAGYTTCTGGAACTTTAGCTGGCATGAGATTGGCTATTATGATTTGCCAGCTATTGTGGATTATGTACGCACGACGACGCGGCAGCAGCAGGTGCACTTTGTCGCCCATTCGCAAGGGTCTACTGTGTTCTTTGTACTGCTATCGGAGCGGCCAGAGTATAATGAGAAATTTGCGTCGGCGTCGTTGCTGGCGCCGGTGGCATTTTTGGCTAACATACGTAGTCCACCGTTTAAGATAATGACTGCCAAAATTGAGGAAATTGAGGTTAGTAATGTGMAAGAGAATGYRCATATGTATGTATGTACATATAGGGAATATATATCATGTWTAAGGTATATCAAGTGTAAACAAATCCATTATTTTTCCAATAGATGTCTTCGGTAATCTGTAACTCACGTCTATGTGGTGTCAGTAAGAGTATCGTACTAAAAAAACGACGCAGACAGTTTGTGGTTACTTTACTCGGCATTTTTTGAGCTCGCGTCTAAAATCGACTCCACTGTTCACGGTCCTAATATTGTAACAGCGAATCACGCTCAATTTAGATTTCATTGATTCTGTTCCGATCCATGGAAAACCGCCTTTTCCGACAGACCTCCATCAAATACTGTTTCGATTGCCCTCGTGCTGAATATCGCTCAAGAGAGCGTTTGGAACCATTTAATTAAGGCTGGATACAAATAGAAGATGGTTGTGTGGATGGCACACTCGCAAAAAAAAAAAAACCTTTGGACCGAATTTCCATCTGCGTATCGTAACATGATTAAACATTACTTCGTGGGAGTGATTTAGACATTTAGGTCTCCTCTATGGCACGGACTGACGAACGCCTACTCTACTCTATATGTCTCAGTATTGTCTGCCGCTTCGCTTTCCAGTTCTCATTGGACTGACACATGAGTGTCGTCAAATTTTCCACTAAAAAACTACCACCGAATGTAGTTTTAAGTTTTCCCTTGCGCTTAAAGAGCGCTGGCAGTAAAAGAATACATGCTCAGAGTCTTTAATGTACTCTAAACATGACGGACTMTTCGGACTAATGTCGCGCTGGAATCTGTATAGGTAGCTCCTAAAGCACCCATGTTCACTTAATATTAGGGTTAGGTGAAAATATAGGACCGTCGTCTGTCTATCCACGAATGGATGTCCGGTATCAGTCTGCAGGTCCAACGTCATTTGAGTTTTGCTATCGCTGCTGCCATATTGTTAAACTTTTCACCCTCTCTTTTCTTTTGGCTCCTATAGACGGCTTTGATAATTTGTATACCTTTCGTATTTATCTTCCTGGATGTCAATGGGCTTCATAGTGGCTATTACCTCGCCAGCATCACTTGATATTTTTCAGAAAGCACTGATAACTCTTAGTGCCGACAGCCTGTACACTGTTTTGACGCCTAGCACTTGGATCCATATTGGAGCCGCATTTAACACAACCGATCTTATTACCTTTTCGAGTAAAAAACGCCAGCTGGAAGCACGCAGCCTTTTTGTGTCAGTGCATTCTAGGTGATACTTAAATTCGAGCCTTGAGTCTACTATTACTCTCAGATATTTTAAGTGTGTCGATGAATGCATCTCGCACTCCCCAATGGAGAGAGATATACTTTCCTCAACTTTTCTACTTATGAGCAAGACTTCTGTCTTTTGAGGATAACAATTGCCGGAGGTCATTAGCCACTGTTAGCCACTGTTACCACAATAAGCACCATCACATTATATTCCACGGAAGGCTAGTTCCAAAGTAAACAGGACTTCATGAAAAGGAGAACAAATGGTTTTTTCGGCAAAATCAATTTATTGTATTCAAAATATTCTACTTCTGCTTCAATATATCTTTTTGTACTTTACAAAAGCATGTCGAAGGAGTGTTTTAACTCATTGGCCAGTATAGCCGCCAGTATGTCGGTGCAAGYCTTTTGAATGGCCTCTACGTCTGCATAACGCTTTCCTCTCATGGACAAATGCATTTTTCCGAAAAGGATGAAGTTGCACGGTGTCATATCAGGCGAATACGTGRAGTGGTTAATGGCTAAAAATTGATTTTTCGTCAAATAATCGTCCTTCGAATGTTGGATTCTGAGCAATTTTTGGTCGTCAGTCAATTTGTGCGGAACAAACTGTACACACACCTTTCGTTAACCCAAATGTTCGGTCTAAATGCAATAAATCGATGTCTTGGGGATGTTCAATTCCATTTCCATTAATGTCAATGATGATTTCGGACAAGTTGATCGTCATTTATGTCMTCATGAGCACTTTGAAAGCGTTGAAACCACTCCCGCGCTTTGCTACGGGATAGGTAATCATCGTCATAAGCTTGTTTCATCAACTRAAACGTTTCGGTAAAAGTTTTACTAACAGATTCTAATGCACCAGTCGACATATAGATGGCCAGGGGGCGCTAGAGTCAAAAAGTCCTGTTTACTTTGGAACGCAAGCAGTTACTTACTATACTATGRGTGGCTGATGAATTTTGCTACATTAAGAAACTCAAATAATTTTTTTT